GATGTTAATTAGTCCAGTGGTGAGGACTTTATGTTTCTTTGATGTTGAGATGTAATCCATATTAAAGACACTGTAGTCTTTGATCTTCTGCAGTAAGTGCTTTGATTCTTCTCCAAACATGTAATCTGCATGACACACAGGATGTTGATGAATCTTCCTCCAATTATGATGTTGCATTCTTCTTCACGAACAATTTGTTTCCAAGTTTCACAATCATAAGTTTATGCCTAAGTTTATGTGATCCATAAGTGCATGTCTGAAAAAAAATATAGCTGTCATTTTCTCTGTTATCCTTCAGCAAGAAAACTTAATTTGCTAAACATTTCTTGTAAACATTACTTCAATTTCTATAATCTCTGAATAGCTTTAGTTGTAGGATATTACATGAAGCAGTGATTAAAGAAAGTTTATCTTTACTGTTCCTAAATTTTTTCTTCTTTCTAGTTAATCTTCATATGCACATATGCCAATGACTCAGAACGCATTTGTGCAATGGTAAAGAACCAATGACAAAAATTTTAGCATATGTCCTCAATATAATGATAATACAATTATGTTAATTGGAGAAACTTTCTAATATTTAACTGAAAAGGTTAAAGTGAGTTTCCCTCAGTTATTAAAAATAGAAAATCATGTTTTCATTTGGCAGACAATATCTTACAAAAATGGAAGTACTAGGAATCTCTTGTCTCCTGAGACACCCAGTTCCTTCTGGGATTATTATAGCCTTTCCTCCAATTAAATAAATGTGGTCATGCTTTTTTGTCCATGTCCTCATACATACACATTGTAATGCATTTAAACAGAGTCAGTCAAAATAGAAGAACCTGAGATAAGACCTTCAATTCAAGACAGACACTGGTATCACTCTGTGAATGACACAAGGGGCTAGTGTGGATTTCGCCAGGTTTACCACTGACTAACTTTCCAATCTAGGTAAGTTAATTCAATTTCTAAGGTAAGAAGGCTAAAATGGAAGAATGAAAAGAATAAAAATACATAAAATACAAAGGCTCTGCATTGTCCTGGACTCGAAAATCTGTCTTCTTTGGGATTCCACGAAGTAGAATGCATTTTGTTATGCAAAAAAAAATCATCATTGTTCTCTGTTGTATCTCAAAGACCTTGTACTAAAAATTGCACACTAAATGTTTTAAATTTTCTTAATTTATTTTATTATTTTGTGTGTGTGTACCATCAAATCAGATCTAACTGGTTCAAGAGGAGATTGCCCCTCCTTCTCCAACAGAGCATCTGGTGGATTTGAAACTCATACCTCTGAGTTTGCAGTGCCGCTTCTTGCCACTAGGCCACCAGAGCTCCCTGCACACTAAATTTTTGTGATGAAAAGAGATACCCATTCAAAACTTTATAAGATTGCTTTATTGTAGAGTTTTACTACAAATTATTTCATTCTTATATCTCAGAAATGAAACTTAAAAATATCTTTACTAGAAATGCATGCAAGACCAAATAGCAGATTGTTTAATTATTGTTATTTCTAGCGGAATGATGACACTTAGATATTACAAGAGGAAATAGCAGCATCTCAAGTCATTTAACTGAGAAAAGATTTTTCATAAACTATTTTTTGAGTTTTATAACTGATTAGTAATAGTGAATTTTCTACTTTATTCTGAAAAATGAAACAAAATTCAGATTCATTAAAAACCTTTAGTTTCACAAGATGAAACTATAAAATAATAAAAAATGCATAAGCAAAGAACCACCTAAACTATGATCTATGCAATAAATAAAATATAATGGAAAATAAATAAGAGGCTTAAAAGGGAGAATATCTCAAGAAAAAAAGCAAGGATAAATTATATTAAAATAATTTTTGAGTGGGAAGTTAATGTAGATTAACAGGACACATCAAAATTCTAGAAGTCACTAATTTTTAACAATCTTTTATAAACTATACCAAAGAGATAAAGAAAGAAAGAAAATCAGCACAAGTATATATATATTTAAGTGAAATTTTTATTAATGTTTGTTACGCAGTTGTTGTTAGGTGCCACCAAGTTGAGTACAACTCATAGTGAGCCTAGGACCAACGAATCTGAGCCCTTTCCTGTGTCAACCTCACAATCTCTGACAAATTGGCGCCCATACCTTTCAATCCACCGGGTTGATGGTCTCCCTTTCCTTTCCCAACCACCTCTTCCCAAGCTTGATGTCCCTCTCCTAGCAACATGCCATAGTCTGCAAGAAGAAGGTTACCCATCCTTCCCTCCAAAGAGTACTCTGGTTCCATCTTCTCTAAGGCTTATTTATTCTTTTGACAGTCCTGTGATATTCAGTACTCTCCTCCAACATTGTAGCTCAAAAACATCAATTCTTATGTCATCCTTATTTATTGTCCAGCTGTCAGCAGCACTGCGAGTGAAAAAGGTGGTCTGAATCAGAGTGCTGCTACACAGTAGTGCCGTTTTTTGTTTGTTTTTGTGTTAATAGTTAATCTTACCATTGACATGTATAAATGAGTATTTGAGATTGATAACATCAAGAAATCAGGTACTGAAATACTACATGTAATGTATACTACAAATTATAAGGCGCATTTTTTTAAAAAGGCACACATTTCCCTAGGTGCAGTTTGTTCTAACTCAAATATCTCTTAAGTCAGGAACTACATGTATATAGAATTTTTTTAAATATAAAAATATAACATTATGTAGAATTATATCATTTATCACATCAATATTTTTCTGATTATTCCTGGAAAATTAGAAGGAACCTACATTTAAATAATAGGAAACCCTTTTATATACATTTTATTACCAATATGGAATATATTATGAAGTATTAAATTATATTTTTAAAAACGACCTTTATGAAAGTGTTTAAAACAATAAGTATATGTCATTATAATACTTAGGGAAATATGTATGTATAACATTGCTTTAATTCTATATTATACATTTTACATATGTCATAAATAACTCACTATATATTTTATTAAATTATATATGTTGAACATGGTGTGATAACATATGACTTTCATTTATTCTTTTTTATTATATATGTCTTAAATTATCTAAAGAGCTCATAGAATATGTTGATATAGTAAAAAAGAAAAAATTAATGAAAAATAAAAATAATTTAGTGAGAATATTCTTTTTACTCCAAAATGCTACATAATACTATTAACCTTTGCAAGTGTGATGCCTTTTTCCAAGGAATGTTGTTGTTATTGTTGTGCGCTATCAAGTAGGAATTGATTCAAGCTGACCGACCCTCCAGCTGGTTTTCAAGGGCAGTAAATCATAGGAGAAGATTACCTGTCCTTCCGCAGAGGAGCTGATGGATTGGAATCATCTGACTTTGGGATCACAGCTCAGCTTCTTACCACTAGGCCACACCTCCTAACAACATGCTCAGAATATTGAGGACATTCTCCTCCTTTTAGAGGGTCAACTATAAGTCTGTTCTGAATCAATAGCAATGTATTGAGCTTATTGTTAAGTAGTACTGTCAGATTAATAAACAACACTTAAAGACTAACCAAAAGGTTATGAGTTCAAACTACCAACTACTCTGTGGGAGAAAAGACTTTGCCCTCTGTTCCTTTAAATATTAGACTACCAGGTAGTTCTACTTTACTATGTAGATTACTTAGGCATTGGAATCAAATCAAAAGCACGAGAAAAAAGCAGTATATTGTTAATCTCTACCAAGATATTTCTTCAAACACCATTAGAAAGACTAGAAAGAATTTTTATTACAATCTTACTGCTTAAAGTCTGTGTTGATAGTTGATAAGAGTTGAGATATCTGCTTGGGGAAAATACCCCTTTGTTGTTGTTATGTGTTGTTGAGTCCCTTGTGACTAATAGCGACCCTTTCTCCAACAGCTCTGAACCCTGCTCTGTCTTGATCTAACCTTGTTGTCTCTGACACAACTACCTCCATTCTTCTCCAGGTCTTTCTGTCTTGCACTGTCCCTCCACTCTTCCAAACATGATGTCTTTCCTTAAGAATCGGGCCCTGCTTGCAACATGCCCAAAGTGTGTCAAACAAAGCTTCAGAATTCTTGCCTCCAGGGAGCAGCCTGTTTCACCCTCTCCAGGATGAACCTATCTGGTCTTCTAGCAGTACATAGTATATTCAGCATCACAACCCAAATGCGTTGATTCTTCTTCTATCAACATTAGACATTATCTAGCTCTCCTATGCATAGCAAGTAATTGTGAAGACCATGGCCTGGATTAGGCACACTTTAGTCTATAGACTGACATCATTACTCTTCAATACTCTGAAGAGGTTCTGATAGCAGGTTTTCCCAATGCAATTCATCTTTTGATTTCCTGACATTTAGTACCAAGGGTGTTGATTGTGGAGCTAAGCAAACCGAAGCTGTTAACAATCACAATCTCTTCATTGTCTATCATGATGCTGACAACTGACCCAGTGATAAGAATCTTTGTTTACTTAATGTTGAGCTTTGAATCCATATTGAAGGCTGCAGTTCTTGACCTTCTGTACCAAATGCCTTAGGTCTTCCTCAGTTTTGGCAAGCAAAGCTGTGCCATCTGTATCTTCCTAATAACTAGCAACACCTAACAATACAAAATAATGCTAATTGTATTGGAGGACTATATATTTAAAAGATAAAACTATTTGTTCAACACCATATACCAATTATTTTAGAATAAGTATTGCAGAGGATTAAAAGACCTACATTGGAAGAATATATCAGTATTCTAAGATATTTGTGAGAATACACACTGGAGGTGTTGTGGCTAGAGATTTTAAAGATAAATTCCAAGGAATATGGTATCTCCTAAATGGCCTTTTGATGTACACAATATGAACAAAAGAAAGATTGTGTTATGGTGGCTTAGTAGAAGTGAAAATAACTATATCTTTTATTTCTCAGAAACTCCTTGTCAACTAGGTTGTGCCTTCTATGAATAATCATCAACAGAATCTCCAAACCCAGTTTACAAAGTTATATTTACAGTTATGCCTTAACTCAAATGCCAAATGCAACAGGAATGACCAACAGGAGTTCTCCAATGGGCTTCATCCTTCTAGGCTTCTCTCAATGGCCCCAGCTAGAAAAGGTTCTCTTCTGGATTGTGTCACTCTTTTACGTCATGATCATCTGTGGCAACTTGACAATCATCCTGCTTTCTTGTTTAGAGCCTCGTCTCCACACACCCATGTACTTTTTTCTTAGCAATCTTTCTTTTTTGGAACTTTGTTTTACCACAACCTCATTGCCTCAGATGTTGTCGAACTTGTGGGGGCCTGAGAAGACCATCACTTACACAGGCTGTGTTATCCAACTCTGTGTGTTCCTCTGCCTTGGTGCAACTGAAGGAGTCTTGCTCGTAGTAATGGCTTTTGACCGCTATGTTGCTGTCTGCCAGCCACTGCGCTACACCATCATCATGGACCCTCCTCTCTGTTGGAAACTTGCCTTTATTGCATGGCTCTCTGGTCTGACAGAATCTCTAATCCAATCTCCCATCACACTTCAGCTGCCCTTCTGTTCCCACCACCAAGTGGATGACTTTCTCTGTGAGGTACCTGCCCTCATACGGCTGGCTTGTGGAGACACCTCCTCCAATGAGTTACAGATGACCGTTTCAGCTGTTCTCTTCACCATCCTGCCTGTGGGGTTGATACTAACTTCTTATGGCTACATAGCTCAGGCTGTGGGGAAAATCAAGTCAGAAGAGGGGAGACAGAAAGCCATTGCCACCTGTTTCTCTCATCTGGTTGTAGTGTTCATGTTTTATGGGACAGTGGCAATGGTTTACACAGACCCTAAAAGCAACTTTGCTTCTGAAAATGGCAAATTTTTCACCTTCTTCTATGCTGTGATCACACCTTTGCTGAACCCTCTCATTTATGCTCTGAGGAATAAAGATATAAAAAGGGCTCTTCAAAGGTTGCTGAAAAAGTGGAGTAGTAAATGAAAATGACAAATGTTTAATATTTTGAGCCAGAAATAGCATATCTTAGAAATAATGATTTCACCTCAGTATCTTAAAGAGAAGGAGAAGTAGTGTAAGAAATATCATTAAAAATGGTGGTTTTAGTTCAATGGGAGCTCTGATGGCCTAGTTAGTAAAGGATTGCACTACTAACCAAAGGACCTGACTCTCCAGTAGTTCAAATCTCCCTGTGGCTCCTCAGGAAAAAGATAGGCAATCTTCTCCTATGTGATTTATGCCCTACAAAAAAGCAACTGAAGATGTCAACTATGACTTGGTTCTGATTTGACCGCAATGTGTTTTGTTTTAAAGATACCTTTAGTAGTAGATCTACTCAATATATTGTTGTTGTTGTTGCTGCTGTTATGTGCCGCCAAGTCGACTGCGACTCATAGCGACCCTATGTACAACAACCCTAAACTCCGCTCTGTCCTGTGCCAATCGCACTGTCTCTGACACTCCC